GCCCAGCTAATTTTTTGTATTTTTAGTAGAGACGAGGTTTCACCATGTTGACCAGGATGGTCTCGATCTCTTGACCTCGTGATCCACCCGCCTCGGCCTCCCAAAGTGCTGGGATTACAGGCATGAGCCACCGCGCCCAGCCCTGTTTTTTGAGACTCAGTTTTGCTCTTGTTGCCCAGGCTGGAGTGCAATGGCGTGATCTTGACTCACCGCAACCTCTGCTTCCAGGTTTAAGCAGTTCTCCTGCCTCAGCCTCCAGAGTAGCTGGAATTACAGGCATGCACCACGCCCTGCTAATGTTGTGTCTTTAGTAGAGATAAGGTTTCTCCATGTTGGTCAGGCTGGTGTTGAACTCCTGACGTCAGGTTATCTACCCACCTTAGCTTCCCAAAGTGCTGAGATTATAGGTGTGAGCCCTGTGCCTGGCCAGGTCTGGGATTTTAATAAGAGTCAGAGCAAGGGTGACACAGGAAGGGACAGCTTTTCAACACAGAAATGGAAGAGTGCCAGAGGTGTCCAGATATGCATGCAATTCCAGGTAGCTGAAGATGAAGCAAGAAAAACAGCCAAGTAGGGAGGCCTTCAAAGTGGGGCTGAGAGTTGCTCCTGCCATTCAGTGCCATTGGAGGTCTAGGATGGCATGTTCTCATTGCATTTGGTAAGTGCCCTCTGAATGCCATGTGTAGACTGGCATGTGGTGACGCTTGGAGGGGGAATATAAGGTGGTGTCGGAGGCGGTGGACGTGGTACAGAGTATGTGCATATTCTAGTGAGTGTAAACAGATGGCCCCAGGACCTTGTATTGGGGGCTTAAGGGACAACACTGATACAAATTTGATTGTATTTGGGAAACACAATCTGGGGGACTCAAGGCCAGTTGTCTGGCAAGAGAAGAGTAGGACTCTGCATACCATGCCCAGAGCTGAGATGGACTCTTATCTGCCTACCTGCCTGTCGTTGCTCAATGGGACCATGAGGAAAGAGTGGGCGTAAGTGGCTCTGGGGCGGGGTCTTTCCTCTGAGATGGGGATTAGGGAAGAGGGTGAGCAGGGGTGTATATTTGGAGAGATGTCTAAAGTCCCCATTAAGGAGACCACATATAAACTCAACTCTCTCCATCTTAGCAGGGCTATGTGGCCTTTGAGGACGTGGCTGTCTACTTCTCCCAGGAGGAATGGAGATTGCTTGATGAGGCTCAGAGGCTCCTCTACCGCAATGTGATGCTGGAGAACTTTTCACTTATGGCCTCTCTGGGTAAGGTTCTCACACCTCATCCCAGCATCCTGGGCTGGGCTCAGCTCTTCCTCCTTTTTCTGGGGACAAGTCTGTTCTTCCCAAAGCTGAATTATGGGCACTGAATCCTTCTCCAATATCATGAAGTATCTATTGTAATAGGCCTGGGCTGTGTATACTACCACCTTCTCTCCCCAAGCTGCCCCAGAGCTGTGGAGGAAAGGATTTGGGGGTCAGCAGTCTTGCAGTCAGTTTGATGGATCTTACCCCTGGTGGCCTCTCTGTGGCCTGGTGACACTGTGCAGATCTGTGGCAGTTCTGTGTCCCTATATTCTGCCTGCTGCTTCTAGCCAACATATCTGGGTGTCTGTCTGTGCCAGGAATTGAGTCACTAATGTGATTGTTATTTGACTGGGTTGTTCCTGCAAGAACATCCTCCAAGGTTCTTTCTGTACCATTTTGTTTTCTTTCCTGTGGTCCATGATGGGATAAGTCATTCTGGCTCAGTGCTGCCACTGAGCTATCCTTTTCTTTAGGACTTGCATCTTCCAAGACCCATGAAATAACCCAGCTGGAGTCATGGGAAGAGTCCTTCATGCCTGCTTGGGAAGTTATGACTTCAGCCATACCAAGAGGTACTTGGCGGGTGGAGCTCAGGGAGGTATGAACTCAGGGATGGGTTCATATCATACCAGGAGTCTTTCCAGTGGGTCAGATATTTTGATACCAAAGCAAGGGGTCATTGCTGATTTCTATCTTTTCTTCCTCAGTCACCCATTTATATCTTCTGATATCTGACCCAGGGCCATTCCCCACCTCTCTGTCCTCCGTGTTTGACCCAGTCCTCAGCAGCACCCTTCAGCAATGGCTTTCACTGAATGTGTGGTGAGGTGGGGGCTTATCTTTGCATAGTCCTTGAAAACCAGCTGTTTGGTTGCAGTTAGTATTTTCTGGTCCTGGACATACCCTTCTGTGCTGTGTTCCTGTGTCTCCAGCAGCCAAAGCCCTATGGAAGGCCATTTGGAGATAATTGTGTTGGGGACCCTGTCTCTCCTCCTTCTGCTACATCCCATCCTTGCATCTTTGGTGCTCATAAGTCCTCCCCAAATCGAATTCATGAACTGGCCAGTTTCAGCATTGCACAGCAGGCCCTTCCCTGCTGAGAGCTAGCACCCTCATTTCTGTCAGCAGTTCCAGGCACTAGTTACTGGGTGAGTCAGACACATTTGTGAGAGTGCTACCTCCTCACACCAAAGTCTATATATACTTCAACAACATTTCTTTCAGGTTGTTGGCATGGAGTGGAGGCCAAGGAGGCTCCTAAGCAGAGTGCTTCTGTAGGAGCGCCTGGTTCAAATGTTCAGCAACACCAGAAGCAGCACTGTGGAGAGGAACCCTTAAAAAGAGAAGAGGGCAGGATCCCAGTTTTGAGAAGTTGCAGAATCCACCTGTCAGAGAAGTCCTTGCAAAGCAGGGAGGTTGGGAAGGACCTTCCAACCAGCTCAGGTCTTCTTAAGCACCAGATGACTCACAGGGGAGAGGAGTCACATAGGACTACCAAAAGTAGGGAGGCCTTTCATGCTGGAAAAAGGCTTTACAAATGCAGTGAATGTGGGAAAGCCTTTGGTCAGAAATATTTACTTGTTCAGCACCAGAGACTACATACTGGGGAAAAGCCTTATGAATGCAGTGAATGTGGGAAGTTATTTAGCCATAAGTCCAACCTTTTTATACACCAAATAGTTCACACTGGAGAAAGGCCTTATGGCTGTAGTGACTGTGGGAAATCCTTTAGCCGTAACGCTGACCTCATTCAACACCAGAGAGTTCACACTGGAGAAAAGCCGTTTACATGCAGTGAATGTGGAAAGGCTTTCAGGCATAATTCCACACTTGTTCAGCATCACAGAATCCACACTGGAGTAAGGCCTTATGAGTGCAGTGAATGTGGGAAATTGTTTAGTTTCAACTCCAGCCTCATGAAACATCAGAGAGTTCACACTGGAGAAAGACCTTATAAGTGCAGTGAATGTGGAAAATTCTATAGCCACAAATCCAGCCTTATCAATCATTGGCGTGTTCACACTGGAGAAAGACCTTATGAGTGCAGTGAATGTGGGAAATTTTTTAGCCAAAGCTCAAGCCTCATGCAACATCGAAAAGTTCACACTGGAGAAAAGCCTTTTAAGTGCAATGAATGTGGGAGATTCTTTAGTGAGAATTCCAGCCTTGTTAAACATCAGAGGATTCACACTGGAGCAAGGCCTTATGAGTGCAGGGAATGTGGGAAATTTTTTCGCCACAGCTCCAGTCTTGTTAAACATCGAAGGATTCACACTGGAGAAATGCAGTGATTGTGGGAAGTCCTTTAGCCAGCATTTCAACCTCGTTCAACACCAGAAAGTTCACCTTGGAAAAATGTCTTGAAGGTAACAAATGGAAATCCATTAGGCACATCTCCAATCTCATTCAACATTGGACAGTTCACAGAGTCCAATTTAGTGAAAAAGGCTTTAGCTGTTTTTAGGCAATTTAGTGAATGTGGAAAAAGGCTTTAGCTAAAGGCCTAACTCTAGTCAACACCAGAAAGTTTAGACTGGAGAAGGCCTTAGGGTGGCAGGTTATATACTGTTTCTGAATCAATATGACCTGATTTAAAACAAACTTTGAGAATGGCCTTTATGAGGGAGCTGGCAATTGAACATCATTCATCTAAATATGCATCCTGGAGGCAGGATGAGAATTCGTGACAGATTGCCCCTCCTGAGAAGACAGCCCTTTGCCTGGGAGCTCCAGGGAGAGGGAGCCCTGTATTCCTGGCTGCACCCAGTCTGGAATGGAGTTTTAATCTCGCTGAGTTTGGAGGTGGGGGAGGGAAGGAGTAGTCTTGGTTCATGTGGGACTGACTTTTGCTGTTCTTATGAATATTAGATCTTTTTTAATATTTATTTGCCGTATACCCTTGTGACCATTTCCAGAGACTGAATTGTGTTTTTATAATTTTCACCAGTTTGGCTGCATAACAGGTCTGCAAAGCTCCTCACTCAGTTATTCTATAAGTTGATCCAAATGTTTGAAATTTTAAGAACTTGCCAAATTGTGTTCTAAATGGTTAGCATTTCACATTTCCTCCTGGAGTATATTAGATTTTCTGTTTCTTCACATTACTGACAGTTTATATGTATGGAAGTCATAGGCCATTGATTTTAGCCATTTTAGTAAGTATGCAGTAGTAGTTCATTGTAGTTCTTACTTTGTATTTTCTGAGGACTGTTTTGAGCATTTTTAAATGTGCTTATTTGTCACCCATGTATCTTCTTTAGTGAAATATCCGTTGGTATTTTTTCCCTGTTTTTAAAACATTTGGTTGGTTACAAGTTCTTAATATTTCTGGAGACAAATTCCTTATTTGATATAAGCGTTGCCAATATTTTCTCATGGTCTGTGGCTTTTGTTTTCTTTTTTAAAATTTAGAGATGAGCCGGGCGCGGTGGCTCAAGCCTGTAATCCCAGCACTTTGGGAGGCCGAGGCGGGTGGATCACAAGGTCAAGAGATCGAGACCATCCTGGTCAACACGGTGAAACCCCGTCTCTACTAAAA